GTGAATCCTAACTTTCTTACAGGTTCTATGTCGCGGAGGTGCTTCTTGCGTTGGAGTATTTGCATATGCTCGGGGTTATATACCGCGATTTGAAGCCTGAGAACATTTTGGTACGCGATGATGGACACATTATGGTAACGGATTTCGATCTCTCCTTAAGGTGTACAGTGAGCCCAACGCTTCTAAACTCATCATCTCCGCTCCACGGAGATGCGATGAGACTCTCTTCAGGTAGCCGTAATGGATCTAACTGCATTCAGCCATCGTGTTTCCGCCCTAAACTATCCCGCGGATCTGGAACCAAGAAAAAAGGCAAACAACACCGCATAATGATGAAGAAACTCAAGAAATCCGACCTAATCGCTCGGTTCAAATCATTGCCTCAGCTCGTGGCAGAACCAACAGATGCGAGATCAAACTCTTTTGTCGGAACACACGAGTATCTCGCACCCGAGATCATCAAAGGCGAAGGTCACGGTGCAGCGGTCGATTGGTGGACGTTTGGTATCTTTCTCTATGAGCTTCTTTACGGGAAAACTCCTTTCAAAGGAGCTACTAATGAAGAGACTATAGCTAATGTGGTGCTTCAGAGCTTGAAGTTTCCTGATAACCCTAATGTGAGTTTCCAGGCTAAGGACCTAATAAAAGGCTTGTTGGTCAAGGAACCTGAGAACCGGTTAGGGACAGAGAAAGGAGCGGCGGAGATCAAACGGCACGCGTTCTTCGAAGGCTTGAACTGGGCTCTGATCCGCTGCGCGATCCCTCCCGAGCTACCAGATTTTTATGACTATGGAGTTCCGAATCCTGAAGGGAAAGGCAATTACTTGGATTGCAAGGCGGTTGGGGAACACCTTGAGTTTGAGTTGTTCTAGAGTGGAAGTTGAAGACATGGTTATTTAAGCCTTTTATAGAAGCCTTGCTTGTGTCACAACTTACACAGTTACTACTTACACAGTCACTTTTTGAGTTTACACAGTTGGAGTTCTATTTTTTGTTTCGTTTTTATTTAAATGAAGTTTTATTATTTGGTTTTGAACTTTTTTTGGTTCAAATAGAAAATTACCAGAATAATTATGGATGTTGATTAATAATATACTTCTTTCTTTTATACACATACGACTGCTTACGAAATGGGATATTTTCAAAACCTTCCCAAACCTTAATACATAAATGATTTAGTTATTTTATAGTTTAATTTAATGTGGTTGGCAAGAAAAAAATGGTTTTATTCAGCACAAAATGTGAATAGATTTTTTTTAGAGACATTTTTCGTGGCGTTACATGTGATATTTATAGAAACATATCATATTATGTATAGTTTTCTATTTTTTCTGCATTATATCTTAAAGTGATGGTGATGATCACTGATGAGTAGGGGCGGAGACAAGTGTCTTAAGTATGGGTACAGTTACCCCCAATAAAATTTGATTAGTTAATACAATTTTCTAAAGATTTTATTTATTCCATCCATAAAAAATGTATTTTTTGCCCTTCTTGCATCATTTTGCATTTTAATTTGTTTTTTTTTCTTTTTAAATTGTACTACATAAATTTAAGTGGGCTTATTTGCATTTCTCGGTCTATTTATATTACATTACTAATAATTTTTTTATCATATATAAACTCATAAAATACTTAACAAATTATTATTTTTTGTTCAGCAGCTAATCGATTAATATTTAGACCCCATCGAAAATTATTTCTGGCTCTGTCATGAGTCATAAACAAATTAGTTATGATCCATGTAGTGTAGCATAAATATCTATTGTTTTAGCAAACTTAGAAAATCTGTTCGTACATATCTTTAAAGAAGCGTTTAGAACGAATTTTTTACCAACAATTGTTTTTTCTTCAAATGTACTCAAATTCAGATACTGTATATAGGGCCGAAGCATCMACTTTTACGTTTTAACATACGATTTTTTCTTCTTCTTTTTTGAGTTAGATTATTGGAGGAATCCCAAATTGTGTTKGTTAAAAATAAGGGTTTTTTTAGTGAATAACCAAAAAATGAAAATTTAAAAGGTTAAAAAAAATAGGATATGTGACAAATTGTAGACCATTGGATTTGAGGTTTTTTGTTAGTTTTCAAATTATAATTTTTTTTTGTTGTATTTTTGGCAAATTTTCTCAAAAAAATAAAAAGTAACGTACGTTAAAGCCTCTGGATGTTTTTGTAACGTTTGGTAATTTGTTGCCTTGTAAGTTGTTGAGGATACCTCAAAATGGCGAGAGAGCCCAACTATCAAATTTTTTTTTTAAAATACCATAGATCGACGAGCAAAAAGAAACGAAAATATCCATTAAAAAAATTGTAGAATATCTCGTGAATGTACATTGTCTCACCAAAAAAAGAGGTTTGTAAAATATCACATGATACACTAATATGAATATGATTGATTCGTGATGGATTTCGCAATCAAAATAAAATTTGGACCGTTAAATTAACAAAATATAATAATCATAGTTTCTGATTAT